ACACACACACACACACACACACACACACACACACACACACACTTTATCTTTAGGAGATTCCTTTTCATAAATTATGGGAAAAGCCGTCCCCAAAAGATCAGCCAGCACTGCATTCTTGGCAAAATGTACTTGACCTGTCAAGAGCTTGAAGCAAAGGATTGCCTCACATGAATGTTGGTAAGTGATTTTCAAAAGAGTTTTTGTTCTGGGACTTAGTCACTTTAGACCCTAGTGAAGTTTGAATGATTGGAGGATTTATAAAAAGTAGAGACTATCACCAACTAATGCTTTGTGCATTCCCACAGCGAGTCCCGCCTACGTTTATAAATGGCCAACCACAGGGCAGGCCGCAGTGTTCTTACTCAGGGGGACTGCTGTGTGAGTAAATTCACACCGGCATTCCTAGGGCTCGCACTTGTATTTTTCCTTTCACTTTTGCGGAAGTTTCGGGTGGGTGGAGCATCTAGCAATCTCTTTAATTTTTAAACTGTTTCAACTTCCACTTGGAGCAAGTGCTTTCCTGTTCCAACAACAGTGTCTAGGAGACGTGGACCGGACAGAGAATGAGCAGAATCGGATATTGAAAGTTTTACTGAAAAGGACCCAAAATGAGATTTACAGTGAAGATTCTTTGGCTTATGCTCTGGACCTTTTGTGTCGCAGAAGGTAAGTTTAAAAGGATCTTTCTTTTTGCTTTAACTAATTTATAAATGATTTTCTAATATATTTTCATGATGGTAAAAACTTTAGTCTAGAAATTTGATTTCATTATTATTCTGAGTTTAACGTGAGTAGCTTTTGAAATCAGTTTGAGCAATATAGCATATTTTAATGGCATATCTCTTCATTTTATCAGTTTTTTATTTAATGTAAAAGTTAAAAATGTTTTCATAAGTATTTTTAAACTTTATATAATTTTATTTGTTTTATTATTGAGGATCAACACAGCAAAATCTAGCCCAATTAATTATGTCTATATTTAGTGATGTTGGTTAAATGCTTATAGTTGTATAACCATGCATGTACACTTTGGAAAATTCTAATCTGTCATGATCGTTTATTTTGCCAATTTTCATGACATAATTTACCTTTTTATGCTTAGATTTCTTACCAGAATAGTTTATGTTGAAGTGCTAAAAAGTATAGATAGACGATAGGTTGATAAACAGGGCATAGTAAATGAAATAGAAAGACAGGTAGACAGAACCCAAACGTCCATCATTCAATAAAAGTCTTCAAATTGTATGTGACTGGATTCTTTCCTCAGATGTAGGTTTTATCCATCCCGAAAGATCAATTTATTTATAACTTATCACTCAGATTTCTACAGACTTGAGCATCTTGTAAACAAGCATTGCTTGTAATTTTAGAATAAAAATATTAATGTAAACTTGAAAAACAATTGACTGTAAAGTCTAAATTGTTCAGAAGTTTCTATTTTATTTTGTTTTGCTTGGTCATACTGTATAGCATATCCTAGAAACGTAACTTTAGGAGTAATAGATATGAGTGTAGAAGTTAGTTTTCCTGAGAGTAGTAGGACAATTTTTAGATTCACAAGTAAATTTAATTTGTTATTGTTTCATGAGAGATTACATTTTGGTTTTCCTCTGGGAGAACTTTGTTCCTCTCCCCGTTTATGACAGACTCACTAGAGGCAATATCGTTCAAATTGCAGGACAGTGTTTAAAACAGTTTCATAATTGTAGCACATATTTTCTGTTCTGTGGTATATATCATGAGTCAGCTTTTCAAAAAGAGCCCTGGAGGCATAGTGATTACTCATTGGCCTGCGATCTGCAAGGTCAGCAGTTCGAAACCACTAGTTGCTCCTTGGGAGAAAGATGGGATATGTACTCCCATAAAGATGCGCAGTCTCTGGAAACCCACAGAGGCAGTTCTACCCTGTCCTTAGGGTCACTATGAGTCAGATTTTACATCATGGCAGTAAATTTTTGAGTTTGAAACTTTTCAAATGTATCCTTTAGGATCTAAAAAATGGATACTATTTTAAATTATACCACATTTCAGAAATTCCAACATGAACAAAATTAACAAGTACTCCATCAAAATATGTCCAAGTACACACTGGCTCTGTTGTAATCTGGAGCTGTATCTTTTTTAAAGGTCAAAATATGATAATTCAGTCCCTTAAATGCAGTATAGGTCAAAGATAGAATATTTCCATTCAAATCAGAGACAATCCATTTTTAAAAATTAGATTATTTCAAGTAAACTACGGTTTCATGAGTGAATTAAACCTGATCTGAAAAACAAATTGATATTATAACTATTATGACAATTAATTATAAATCAATAAAATTACATGCTTTATATAGTTTTATATGAATGTTATTTTTTCTAATGCAGAAATATTGAGACAGTGGTGTATAATCTCAGATTCTGCTCAGATTTCAATGCAGTGAGCCCATTTCTCACTCCCAACTCCAAAGAATAAAAAAGTATATTTTCAATGTTAGTAGTATAGGTGTCTACTTATGTGATTTTAAATTGTCACATGGCTCTGTTATCAATATTTTCTCTCTCTTTAAAATACTTGATCTTTTAACCAATCACTTTCAATCAATCTGAAATATAAATGGAAGAGTAAACACTCTTTTAAAATATTTGGGATGGTTGCCTTCGGTACTATTCATCGTTTACTTCAAATCAATGCTATCTGATAACATTTCTGTAGCAAAATAGAAGGTAGAGTCGTAATGGATGAGGAGAAGGGCTGGAAAAAAATAGGACAGAGTGATTCTGGAAAATGAAATATTTCCAGATAAAAAAGATCTGAATAAAGTGCACAGGGAATTAAGAAAATACCTACCAAAATGGCAGACTAGGGAAACGTGGGCCAGGATAAGCATCTCCTGGCAGGGACTATGCTAGTCTTTAACTGTATAGAATTTTGAACTGAAACTGACTTCTTTAAGTATTAAAAAGTAAATTCTTCTTAGCTAGAAGTGGGTTTCCAAATTAAGTTCAAAGGTAGATCAGTGCAGATTTTTTTGGGGGGGGGCCTTTGGTTGCTCAGTTCCACCCCCAAATCAAAATTGACCTGTTGTATTTGCTCAGTTCTGGACTGTTCTGTAGCCTTGGCCACTTTTGTTCCAGATGCTCCCTTCCCTCTCCCCCGCCCCGTGTCCAACTTGCCAGGGCCATTGAGACTCTGCCAATTAATCTGCTGATTTGAGTAAACAAATATGCTCTTTGCCCATTTTTAAAAACTTCTTAGCAATTTCACCAAGTCTCAGAACATAGGGCATTGAAAAATGTGTCAAATTTTAGCTTAAAATTAGAAGGAGACATTTAAAAAACATGATTCAGAGAAGGTCAAGTAACTAAACAGAAGAAGATATCCACAAAAATAGTAAAAGAAAAGGAGGGAAGCAACAAATTAACAGAGCATGTTTACTTGTTTTGACATTTTAACTGAGAGAGCCAAGCTTCTCATAAACCTTGTGAACCAGACATGGAATAGATAGAAAAGTGATGATAGAAATGTGCTTTCAGACAATTCCAAAAGATTTTTGAGCTAAATAAAGCTGATTCCTGACTTCAAAAACTATAAAATAAATTTAACATTATCGCCCAGATGAACAATGGAATGATAGATGTCATAGGTTCTTGTATTCATGCAATGTGCTTTAAACATTATCTCCATTTCTTTTCAACTTATTTACATCTGTTGTTGTGCGCTATGTCCTTTCACAGGCTGTCCACAATTTACAGATAAAGTGAAAGGGATGCCAGATAATTTTATTTTTATTCATTTGTCAGTTCATTCAGTGACTTTTTCCCTTCTTTCTTCCTTTTATTTTTTTATTTTGAGTGACTGCTAAGTGCCAAGCAAAGTAGTTGGTGGTTGAGTAGTGGAGTTCTCACTGCAATGCAGGAAATCTGGATTTGATTCTTGGTTGATGAAGCTCACTCGGAGCCACTATAGAGTCTTGTGTTGAACAAATTTCAGGAGAGGTTCCAAACTAAAGCAGACCAGAAAGAAATTCCTGGTGCACTACTTCTAAACATTAAGCAATGAAAAACCCTATGAATTATGACTGTCTGATCTACAACTGATCATGAAGCTGATGTAGACGTCATCTCGTTTAATTGTTCATGGGGTTCCTAACAAGTGTCTGGCACGATGATGACAGCTGTCCAGAAGTGGCGCACTTGATGGGGAAAAGCAAAATAAATAAATATTTTATTTCATTAATATATTGTACTTGATCATTTTAAAAAATTGTGACTGGGATGAAAAATGTTACTGCAGGATTATTTAGGAAAGATAAAAAACACTAAATGGGATGAGAGGATGGAATGGGGTGAACTTGGGTGGTGGTTTATAAGAAGTGAAGCAAAAAGAGAGCAAAATATGGCAGACTGCTTCTTGGAAGAGATACCTTGTGGGCTCCTCATGTTAACATCATCCTGTGGCTAAGTTCCTATCTAAAGTACACAATCCATTCTTACAAAAACTCTCTCTATGAATACAATTAATGTTAGATAGATGAAATGGTCACAGTGTACTGATTGACATCAGGTATTAACTATTCAAATGTTGCACCTTTGAAGACTCTTGATTTCAGTTGAATTAACCAATGGTGTCCTAATAATTGATTTAATCCCTAATTGTCATATAAATGTTATTCTGCTCAATTTCTTATGGATATATGCTATTCTCTTTTTCGCTCCATAAAAATCTAGTATTCTCTTATTTTTATTATTTTCCATGCATAGTAATATTTTTATTTTAAAAAATATGATTATATGTCTTCAAATGATTTTTATTAAGTACAGCATATTCTCTGTTCTACCTTTTCTAGTTTATTTTTCTTAACTGCTTATCACTATTCATTTTTTCTTTAACACAGGTACATATATACATCTATAACTTCCTATTTTACTTTACATTATTGTCATATTATTTACAAATTATCTTTATTTACAGCTCTTATATTGAAAAGCTTATTGGATTATATCAAACATAAGTGTATGTCAGTTATATGATTGTTTTCCAATGAGATAAGAAATTTAACTAAAATATCTGCTTTTGCTGTTTCCATTCTGTCCATTTGTTTTACTTTTTTCTGAATTTATTTTGTCGTTTTGCTTTGCAATCTCCTCTAACATCTACTAGATTTAGAATTGCTTTCATTAAACTCAAGTTGCTTTTGATGCAGGGCAGCCCCATAAGTAGCTGTGAGTCACAAGTTCCCAATGGCTGACTTTAGGAGTAGCTCTCCGGCCCTTCCTTCATTGTCTGTATTTAATCTGGAAGCTCTCCTATAACCTGTTTATTACCATAGCAGTATGAAAACCTCCACAAAGAGTGCCTTGCCTTGTAATTAAACATAAGAACTACATTAAAAAAATAATAATAACCAAAAGAAAATGTGCTTTTGATGAGCCAAGTGGGCCAAATATTTTATGAATAGGTACTTTAATAGACAAAATTTAAATAAAATAAATAATTTGATAAGAAAAATAAAATTACTTTCCTCTAATTAGCCTAGTAGAAGGGAAATTAAGTTTGTCAACATTCTAATGTTTGTGGAAACCATTTCTACTCACAATATTAACATGAAATTCAACTAACTTATTTCTACAGTAACGTGAACTCCCTGAAGTTGAGGTGAATTACTGTAGTGAAAAACATA